CTGAGACGTATAGTGTATTTTTCTTTAGTTAGTCCCTTGAAAATAGGTTGTTTCTTTGCTTTAAAATATTTCTAAGAAATTGTTGGGCCGGTGGAGGGCACCTAATTTAGACTTTTACTCGACACTTATAGCCATTGATCATTAGTGAAGCATCAGTAAGGGATCTTTTCTTCGTGCTAACATCTACATGTATACTGCGACACTGGACCTGCGTTTTTTACGGTTTCATATTCGACTGACCAGTCCCTTGTCGGGACCTGTGACTTAGAATAAGCTCCTAAATTACGTCATGACTCCAAAACGAAACACTAGAATCACTGCACCACGCGAGGCCTTTGACATTTTGTCTGTGTAAGTACTCGAAGATTATAGTAGGTTTGAAAAATATACTCGGATGTCCGATGGTTGAGTATTTGCGATTCTTGTCTTTTTGTAAATATTCGATTTCAGTAAATTTACGCATGCCTGAGTTATTTCACAAGTTCAAATGAATGATATTTGTGAATTAATTTACCGTACATGTTGCTTCATTTGTATGATATTCGGTTTAAAAATCCGTTTCTTTTGTTCTTTTTTATGTATAAAGATAGGTATTTTTAAAACTGCTTTCAGAAAAAAAAAATAATTTACCTACCTACCTACCCAACTTGAGATTTTAGGGTCGGGTTAGGGGAAACAAAGATATTTTTAATGATGGCCTTAGGTGATGAACCATACATCCATTGCTGGTAAATGGTAACATCACTGTCTAAAGCTGTTAATACTAGTAATTAAGATAACACAGTATTCGAGGAATTGGACCGTCCTAGCACCAGAATCCCTGACCCTGGGGCCATGAAATTCACAATTTTGGTAGAGGACTCAATGCTTATTACAAGCATGCCAATAGTTTGAATGCTTGATGTCCAGGAGTAAAGAAGAAGGTTTTTAAAGATTGCATTAAAGAACTACGCACGCTAACTCTCGATTCCCGCCTACATTTTACACCCATTCAATTCAATACTAATGGCAATTTGGCCATAAAATCTTTGTTGAATGCAAGGACGAGTTAAATGGAAATTGATCAATAATTTTAATACCAGTGTTAAATAGTTAATTAATCTTAATTCCAGGTCTTTTTACAAGGGGGGTAGACGATTTTTTCCATTGAAATCAGGCTTGAAGGCATCAGCATATTTTAAAATATTCTTGGATATGGATAAATGTTCTTTAAATCTTTCCTTATGTTTTATGCATATAAAATTAAACATATATAATTGATAAAATACAACGTTTAAGTTGTAAACCCCTTCGAAATTGGTGAAAAAATAAGCATTTTTGTTGTCTTTTGTCTGTAAACCTATCCCCCCCCCCCCCCGTGAAACACAAAAAGCTTTGGTATGAATTTGAGAAATAACAATCCATATTACCTGTAAAAAATAATTTTTGTTTCACGGGGGGGGGGGATTTTTTTTTTTTTAAAAAAATCCATTTTCCATTGATTTCTATAGTGAAAAACACAAGTTTTACCAAAATAATAGAGTTATCTCTCTTTGTTTTCCCAAATAAGTAATGTTTTAGGAAAATTCATATAAATATCTATATAAATATGAAAAATCATTCAAATATGTTAACTTTTGAAATTTGATTTGGAGGTAGTATCATGTTGTAAATTTTGAATTTACTAGGGGGAGGTAAATGCAAAAATTTACAACATGTAATCATGTTGTAAATTTTGCATTTACCTCCCCCTAGTAAATTCAAAATTTACAACATGTTAGTAGGCGGGAGAACAAAACTATCGTTCGCAGTTCCTTGGTGGTTTTAGCCCCATCCCTCAGGCCCCAGGGAGTCGCCCGCGTGGCGCAGTGGTTAGAGCGTTCGCTCTAGAGTCACGGAGTAAGGAGTTGATCCTTACGTTGCGGGTTCGAATCCCACTGTGGGACGTGGAGACCGGTCCTTCGGATGAGACCGTATAAACCGAGGTCCCATGTCGCAGAAGGTGCTGGCACGAAAAAGATCCCTCACTGCTCAATGGCCCTGAGTGCCGAGTATAGGTAAATATTTGCAGCTCTCAAACGGCAAGTGTTGGCATCTCAATATGAGTGAAAAATTCTCTCGAGGGACGTCAAACAATAAAAACAAACAAACAGGTCCCAGGGGGACAGGGGCCGTGAAATTCACAATTTTTTGTTTCCCTTCACCCATAGATGCTATATGCCACAATTGGTTCAGCGGTTCCGGAGAAGAAGTTGAAAATTTTCAGATGTTAACGCACGACGACAGACAAAACGGATAGTAATAGGTCAACTGAGTGACTCGAGAGACCTAACAACTATTTTGTGGGTAGTATCAAAAAAGGGAGGTCGCTTTTTGGAAATACATATCTTAAATACCATGCATATAACTACATGTATGTATGAATTATTTTATTGCTGAATTTTCAGTTAAAATGAGAAAAAAATGTTTTCTTTCTGTAAAGAAAAACGACATATGTGTAAGGATGAATTGGGTAATTCTTTAGAGGTAATTATTGAATCTTTTATATTGATAAAGAAAAGCAATGTCTGACAAAGAACCCAATTCTCATAGTTTTCATCAACAGCCCCCCCCCCCCCGAAAAAAAAATCGAAATGTTGTGAATGTTGTTTTGAAATTAATTATTTTAAAGTCCTTATATGAATATCTAATGACACTGTAAATAACTTTTATTTCTTTTGTTATTAGATAGAAAGAAACGTTTCAAATACTTTTTGTGTAATTATCGACGTCGGCCAACAAAAACATTTGGGCTTTTATCCCCTCCCCAAACTATTTGAATTTAGTTTTTTGTCAGACATCGATCTTTTGATCTCGCCCCTCTCTATCCAGAGTTTTCCCGCTACGCTCTCACATACCGTAGCGGAAGACAACTCTGGATAAATATGACGACGTCATAGATGGAATCTCAAGCAACGTCACAGTGCACAATCACGTTACGTCATAATAACGCTCGCTGCATAGTTTCAATTTCATGTGTACAATATTAAAAATGGATCGCTTCAATATTGTAAGACATCCTAACACACTCTGGATTCAATTTGAATGTGAATACATTGTTCCGAATGAAGGCTTTGTTTTGGCAGTTTGTGGCTCTATCCCCGAACTTGGGAACTGGAATGCCAGCGCTGCACTCATTGCAGGTAAGTTTTAAATTGCTAGACATTAATATTTTTTTAACTTGCACATCGAAAATCGGTGTAAGTTCCCCGGGAATGGCCAAGCTTAAGTTGGGGACGCTACAAAATAATAACTGGCAGCTAGTACTCCTGTTCTAAAATCCTTGGTCCCTTGGTACATGTAATAGGGAAAACATAAGATTCATCTTGGTCTCAATAATATTTATAAATCACATTGCAGTTTTCATTTACACAGGTACAATTGATATTGGTTGGTGGCATCTACCGTACAGACTACTATTATAAAAAGGGGGGGGGGGGTACAATGGCTTTAGTAGGATATCTCCAAAAATTAAATAGGTGTCCAGTGTGTTGGGAGATAATTGTCGAACATTTTCTCACTTGGAATCACAATTGTATGGCTATGGTGAAAATATGGGCGGATCTTGGATCTTTACTTTGAATTTACGCGCCTGACAACTCGGCAAATTATCTGTTGACATAATGCGATCGCCTCCTATAGATAACCTTCGGAAAAGAGTCACATGACAAGATTCAACCTATACAAATGCTGTACGGCGACGTTCCACCAATCACGACAATGACATCGTACAAAATAAAAATCGTGTCGTACTGTCAAACAAAGTTGTCGAACAATATGGATTATAAACAAATCCAGGAATTAAGATGTGAAAAGACAAAATAATCAATAAATATGGATTACAAAAGATGTGTCTATAATAAGTAAGTAAACAATTTATATCTGAAACTTGTAAATTTCACAGAAGTAAACTTGCTGAGTACGATATCGCGGATGGATAAAAATATAGTACAAGTTTAAGACACATGTAATCGGGAATAACAATTACTAAAATGAATATTAGAAATCACAATAATAATTAACATAATTAATAGCAAGTAAGTATGCCTGTGATGTAACATGGATAACATAAATGCGAAACTAACCTACTTAACATGCACCGATAAAGATGACAGACAGGATATAAACAAGTTGCATGGCAGCAGATGATTTAAAGTGTTGCAGCTAATCTACACATGTAGAATTGCTAACATAATGACAGTTAACTCAAGAAATACATGCAGATTTAAGATGAAGGAATGTAAGATGAATGTAACTAATTCATGGTATGTAAAAATAAATGCAAACTTTAACATTCCTGACCAATTTTGGCAAAACGTTTTGACACACATGAAATAATATTACAAGTTAAGTCCACCCGCCCTACTATTATTACACAGTAAACCATAGTGAAATTTTAGACATCTGACAGGTCCTTACATCGGTATTCTCGATATTTGTTTTTGTTTTTTGTTTTGTTTCTTCTGAACAAAAAATAACACACAGGGTCCACGATTTACCCTCCTACCCCCCCCCCCCCCGCTTTCCGGCCCCTTCCCATTTTAGCTTTTGTCATCAGCGAAGAATTATCACTGTGAATTACAAAACTGCTTATACATAATATTGTAAATTTCTTAAACCCAATATAAGTAAAGTCAAAATTTAAAATAATATCCTGAACGTTAAATGTTCTTTACTATTTTGATAAAACTGCAAGGGGAGTTTAACAACAACAACAAATGCAAGGAAAAAACTAGTTATTGCAGTTTTTTTAAAGAATTTGTGGCGAAGGGATATTTATATCCTATGCTGACTGAAAAAAGATTAATGTTATGTTTTCGTTAGTAATTTTGCTTTAGCTCAGCATTCCAAGGACTCTGGAAAATGGGTCGCTGGGATCCACCTACCGGCAAACTCTACATTCGCTTGGAAGTGGGTGGTTCTTCAGCGGCCAAACCTTACTCCTTACCGGTGGGAGGAAACCCAAAACAGGGACATAATGGTACATTTCTGGCACCGTGGAACACGGAAATGGCCTTTGATGTAGTTCCATTCACAAGACCAAGAGGTATTATCTACTGAACTGTATTTAAAATAATAATTGCAGACCCTTTTGGGGCAAACTAGTATTTAGAATGACGAAATAAATGATAGATGTACACTTCTGTATTTCTTCAGATGATGATAGTTTTTGGACAGACGATGACGCAAAACAACTCAAGATACTGCAGAACTTAATAGCACAGCAGACGAAATATGAAAATGCTAGTCCAGACGAACCAAAAGTACAACCCCCAAATCAACCAGCAACACTGCTCGGTAGAGGAATTCTAGATATAATCTTAAGGCTTCCTCGTTGCGTGGGATCCATTGCCATGTCTACCATTGAATTCATTAAAAACAAATTTGTCAGTTTTTGGCAGAGTCGACACAATCAAGATGATGCTGATGGTGTTAGAGATTTGGGTACATGGGTGTAGGAACAATACACCGGTCGAATAGTTCGAATAATTTTCCTTCCAATTCGTCATTGGAAACTTGCCCTTTACAGCTGTAAAGAAGGAAATTTTAATGGAAAATATAAAGAAAACCTTTGGGGGAAAGTTTTTTTTTTTTTTTTGCTGTCTCTCTACTCGAAGTATCCAGTTCTCAATCTAATTGTCCCAAAGAAATATCAGCTGAGGACTGCAACAGTCCAAGATCAACTACTAAACGTAAGGAACATTTGTTTAATACTTGCCGATGTTCTCACTCACTGAAAGGGATTCGAGAATTACCGAGAACTGAGATAAAGTGTGTATAATTCCACCCAATTATTTGTCTCTGTGGATATTAAAGAATGAAGGAGTGATTCAATTTTGTTGATGGTGATAAGAAGATAATTAAATCTTTTTTATGCTTTTTAATAAAAAAATGTTACTGTGTTAATAGTGTTCTTTTCTCATCGTTCATTTACCTCTGATAAACTTTTAACAAAATGAACATGAATTTAAGAAAATAACAAGGGTCTTAAAAAGGAATGGCCTTTGATAAAAATTCTTCAAGTTGCAAGTAAAGCAAACTGGGAGGTCAATTCTCCAAAATAACGAAGATATTGATTTTTATCATGATTGGGACATTGTGGATAATTTATAGAGCTTCTTTCGTTATATGGCATCACTTTGCCTTTTAGATAAACCTGATATATGTTTCTTAACACTGACTTCACATAGGTTTACTTTGCACATTTCACAATGACTTTGTAGCGCATTTGTTTCACAATGACTACAAAGCAAGAGTTCTTGGGCGACAAACCATGCATCCATTGCTGGTAATTGGTAACAACACTGTCTAAAGCTGTTAATACTAATAATTAAAATAACACAGTATTCGAGGAATTAAAATTCATTTCCTCCAAGAAGGAAATTTCATAGACATATGTAAGTAATACAGATTTTATGACAGTTATATTTGGCCTTAATTTTGCATAGCCAGAAAAAAATGCAACGTTTCTGAAAAAAAAAAATCAATGAAGTGAATTTTCTTTGATTATTGCAAAAGCTGTAAAGCTTTGAATCCTTTTGATACAATGGTTAATTAAAGATTAATTTTAACCTGATATTTGGAAGTATTGTCTATTTTGATGTGTATGTATATTATGTTGCCAAATAAAACGAATGCAATATGACTACCTTGATAAAGAACGAAAGAGCTGTATATTTTATTAGCAAAGTCGGAACATTCAACTAAAACTCAGACATTGGTAACCAAAGAAGTTGTTTATATCTTAAATCTATATGATAAGAAATTTTAGGCGGTGTCAAAGTAACTTTTAGGCTTGTTTAATTACCACAGTGGATTAAATAATGGGATATGACCATAAGGGAGGAACACCTGATCCATCTTCCCTTCCCTCTGTAATTGTATTGTCGTTTACTGATTTTTATTTGAAAATCAAAACAAGTAGACGACTATGGGTTATTTATGAAGGGGGTATATTTTTTTATTAAAAGAAAAATAAATAACGTCAAATGCCTATGACTACAAACTTCCTCTGGGTCATATATAGTTTACTTTGCGTGCGTAGACCAACTAAGCTAACCCCCCCCCCCCCATCCCACTACAGCCAATCGTCAAGCACCTGCTGCAGTCAGACCTCGGGATCATTGAGAGTTCTCTGCTCAGCTGACTGTGATATCAATATCTTGTCCTGCAAACAGTCACTTTACAGATGAACAATTATGATAAAATCCTAATACAAATCACTCTCGCCCCTCCATCTTTTTATACAAATGAGCTTGTTTTGAAGTTAGATGACGTAATTGGTAGATTTCTAACATTAAGATGGAATGGTTGTCCTGGCGATTTAAAGTTGTAAGACTTAAAGTGCATGATAGAACAGCTTTCTATGTGTTTAGTGAAAAGGTAGTTAACGGTTTATCTATATTCAGTATTATTTAAAACGTGTTTTTATAAAAAAAGAATCATTCATTTGGTGTCATTCATTCATTTACTTTCCATAACGATATATTAAAATAAAAAGTATGTATACATAATTATACACTAGACAAAACGCACCATTTGTTATTATCGTTTGTTAATTGAACATTTGCCTAATCGGCACTAATATATCTAATACCGGTATGTCATCTTTCCCAATACAGTGGAATTGAAATATGTCTTGCAATTGGTGTCATGAGAAGACCTTTAAATGACCTTCTTGTCCGAAAACCAATTTCCTGGCATGCACTTTGCACCGTTTTTGCCTCGATATGAAGTTTATTCTTCTGATGGTGGCCCGAGAGGTTGAACCAGAAGCAGTTTCCCAGTCAAAAATCAAATTATATACATGTACATCGATTGCATGACTTTCATATCGCCTAGTATAGACACCCAGTCCCTTGGTGCACATACCCAGTACACACAACTTCCGGTTACCCCAATTTTGTGGAACAATCTTCAAATTGTCTTGTGGTGAGTACTTAATGCCATGGCTATCTATAGAAAACATTTTTATGTTCGTCAATCTATTAGTAATGTGTGGGAAGAGGTTCTCAACAATACGTGGTTATAAATGTCAACACAGACTTACTAGTACATGTATACATAGAATACTAGTACATTGTGTATTAGTATAGATATCAGGTATCGCTACAGTATGTACGTATGTTTGATGGATCAATTAATAAACAAGTACATTCTGCATTGTTATATGGTTTATAAATCATGTTTCAGACTAGAATCAGTTACTTTATAACAGTAAACTCGAGTCTGGTGACACATTTTAGACAGGCATAGAAAATTGTGCGAATTGAAGAAATTCACCACAAAACACTCATAAAAATTATAAAAATCAGTGTCAAATGTTCAGTTAATACCTTAGAGTCCCTTGTCACCTTACGTGTCCTTCCGTTTTATTATCGATTCATACGTTACAGGTGATGTAAAATTATCCCGATAAAGATGAAGTTGGCGATACGAACTCCATCACAGAGCTGTTGTGCCTCGTTACTAACACATGAATTCAGCAACACTTCTCACGCACCGTTAACAAAACACCGTTTTATCATCGCGACATGAGCCAAATCAAAGAAAATGGAGTCGAGTCTACCTCCAAGAACAATGCTGAAAATCCAAAGGTGCGCTTTAAACAATTGTACAAGAAAGCATTGGACCTGGGCCTCTCTGAAGAAGATTTTAACAAAATTGATGCCATTAAGGAGATACGGAAAGCAATTCAAACAGATGATGTTCTTTCGCGAATATGGAATATTGTTTGGAAATGTTGTCTATTGGTTCTTTCTATTACGTCATTAATCGTTGCAGTTGCAGTTTTTGTTTTTGTCTTCCAATGGCCAATTGAAAATAAAACTTTATTCAAAGTTTGGTTTGCATTAACTGGGGAAGAAGCCGGCTCTGAACGTTCAGAAATATGTGCTGTGAATGCCATTGACTACATGGCCGAGATGTTTAGACCTCCGACGTCATGTGATTTTTGTCGTAATGTGTCGTCTGTCGAAAAATTGGAGCATGTGTCTCCAGACTTATTTGAAAAAGTGTATGCATATAGTTCGGTACCAGTTGTAATCACCGACGGTACCAAAAATTGGACTGCTTCCAAAGTATTTTCGTACAACTTTTTCAAGTCTTTATATTCAAGTGGCAGTCCTGCTTTGCAGAATGTTGAAGAAAATTGTCAATTCTTTCCGTACAAAACGAATTTTTCAACCTTGGAAGAAGTGTTCGAAATGAATGAAGACAGAGCTCTGATGAAGGACGGATCTGCCCCTTGGTATATAGGATGGTAAAATTGTTTTATTAATTACTTTATCCTTTGTTCTGGTCTATTGTAATGTACTACATTATGTAAAGTGAACTAGCATTTGCCATCAGAATTTAAGTGCACGTAGGATTTCAGATTAAAAAAATATAAATTTTAAAATGGGAATCATTACATCTGTCGCGGTTACTTGTGACTCTGCATTTTAAATTAGTTTAAGATGAATTTTTGAGAATTCTTCGTTTAATACGTAATTACTTTTGCAGCAGACATTTTAGAAAACTGGGGAGGAGTGTGTCTCTGATTTATAAGCCATTTCATAAAAAAGATCTTTTTTTTTTGGAAAGATTAGCACCCCCTCCCAAAAAAGATAAATTAGCAAAGCGATATGATGTAAAGAAAATTTGAAACGATAATCCAGGTTTTTCAAACCCATCTTTCTTTACTTCATTTTAAAGAAATGTTTTGCTAGATGCTTTGTTTTGGTTGTAAAGACCTTTGCATGGTGATTTCAGGAGTAACTGTGATCTGTCGGCCGCCAACACTTTGAGAGGACACTACAGCCGGCCATACTTCCTCCCCCAGGTCGCTGAATCCAGCAAGACGGATTGGATATTTATGGGCAGTCCTGGATATGGAGCAGACTTGCATGTAAGTGTAAAACTGAACGTGCATGTAGTACATATATATACTAGTTACTATGGTATAATGTTAATAGCAATTAAGCAATAACAACTCGAAATCTTAGTAAGGCTGGAGACGACAACACTTATTAAAGTCTCTGTGAGTTCAAATTTTTAAACGGTGAATAAGAAATATACCCCCATCCCCGGCCCCTTTCCTTCGAAAAAATCAAATTATCCATTCAAATACATAATATTCTACACAATCATATAAATGCAACAGGTTGAAGTGGTCTAAAATACACTTGCAAAATGATATGCTTCAGTAGGGAGACATCTGGATTCTGTGTTGGGTTCGAAACTTCGATTTTTATCTTTCAAATGAAAACGTGTATGACTAAATTCAGTGAATGTACGTATCAAATTGTCGATTTTTATTGAAACAGAAAACGAGAATAGGTCTGAACATTTTTTTATCAGTAGTCCAGTGTTTGCAGTACTTCCACTATGTATTGGTACACCTGTTGCTTTGCAAAATGTAAACTGCAACATTCTTTTTACTTATTGATTATATAAAAAAAAACATATATGTTTTAAATGCCATCAAATTAACCCAGTAAACCATACAATACCTAACGAATCAATGATATTTTCATAGGTTGTTTGTAGAACTAATTAATGACTATGGAATTAATTACTATTAGTATAGGGGGTCAAAATTGACTTTTGTTTCTTTTCCTTTCCAAAGATTTTAAAGGCATTTTGTTTAATATCTTTAGGAAATGAAATCCTTAATTCTAACAAACTTTTCACACTCTGTAGATAGATGCAGTAGAGCATCCCTCTTGGCAGGCGCAGATAACTGGTACCAAACGCTGGACTCTGGAACCTCCCCCAGAATGTTATTTTCAGTGTCCTAAAAGTATTCAAGTCGTCATTCACCCCGGGGAAATAAGTGAGTATACGTGTGACCATGTCTTTTGATATGATTAAATTTAGAAAGTACATGAAAGAATAGTTTGACTGTATGTAAATGTGTCGTTGTTACATTGTTTAATCAATATGTATGTTCCTTGTCCGTCATCATTTCATACAAATTATTTTACGAATGCGTGGCGCAGTGGTTAGAGCGTCTGGTCTAGAGTTGCGGAGTAAGGAGTTGATCCTTACGTCGCGGGTTCGATTCCACTGCGGGACGTGGAGACCGGTCCTTCGGATGAGACCAAAGTCCCAAGTCGCAGTAGGTGTAGGGCACGAAAAAGATACCCCATTGCTCAATGGCCCTCGGTGCCGAGTATAAGTACAAATTTGCAGCCCTCCACCAGCAAGTGGTGACGTCTCTATATGAGTGGAAAATTCTCGAGAGGGACATTAAACAACAAATAAACAAACAAACGAAGGCCATAGCAAAGCTATTCCGGTATATTGGTCACATAAACTATGACAGTCAGACATTTAATTATTAATGATGTCAAAAAAAAAAAAATAAATAAATAACTGAAAAAAAAGTTTCGCCATTTATCAGAGCTCACCTTGGAGGGAACCCAATGCCGTAAACTAATTACCTTCTCTGGGCCGTAAGGATGTGCTCAAATTATAAGGTTATTCGGAGGAGTCCATAAAATGAAATTATTAATAAAACTTTATCGTGAACATTAAATAATGCCGAAATAGGAAAGCGTTTCTGATTTAATGCATCAGATGGCTTTCTGTGTGTGATTGATCTGCAATTTCTTTTGGTCCACCGATGCAGCTAATTAAAGATCCAGAAACTTATTGCCTTTTCTTTATGAGAGAGAGAGAGAGAGGGAGAGAGAGAGAGAGAGAGTTTATACCACAGAAACTGAACATTGTTGTGAAAATAATTTGAATATATTACTTTACTTTTTTAAAACTTTTTTTTCAGTTGTCTTGGATACAAACCGTTGGTACCATTCAACTCTGAACGTGGGAGATGATATCAGTATCACTATTGGATCGGAATACGATTAAAGGTGTTTGATTTTTTTTTTTTAAATGAATAAAATACATTAACAAATTTTAAATGTGTGAAATTCTCTGAATTGCATCGCATTTTGAGCAATCGATTTTGTGCGAACATGAAATTCGGTGTATTTTGTACATGTAGGTGTACTTTAGTACCAGCAAACATCTTAACAGACGTTTCATCATTTCACAAAGATAGCCCTTGGGTTGCAAAGATGTCACTTCCTGTTTAAGAAATATATCATTACAGTCAATGTTTACAATTTTCCTTTGAAACAATTATTTGTGGGCGTATATGCGTGTCAATTACTCAATGGGGGTTACGTTTTGCGCACCCTCTTCCTCAGTGTAACACAAAGTATCACAGACTATACATAGTCTTGCATGTATGCAGAGTGTAAAAATAGTGATCATAATCTCAAAATAATTTGATATCAATATTTTACGTACTATATATATTGGGCGAAAAAAAAAATTGAAATTTTGCGATCGGATTTTCATCCTTTATATAGTAATCATGCTGATCCTGTCTGAATTTGAAGAAGACTTGCAAAGATAAATCTACAAGCTGATGCTGTTAAATAAATACTAGTACGTGGACAAAATTTAGTGGAAATTGTAAAATAGAAGCCTTTAGGGGGTGAGCATACATTGTATTTGCTATCAATAATTTGACCACAAAGATTAATTATTTAATTCTTGAGTTTAGCTAGAAGGATGTAAAAACAAATGTTAGAATACTGTTGTTCTTTTTGTAATTACTTGAAAAACCTGACAAAGCAAGGACGTTTATAGAATTATCCGTCTGGTTTTTAGCTCTGCTGGCTGGATCAAGAGCTTATGCGATTAGTATGTCCACCGCCTGTCTGAAATCAATTTTACGAAATGTCACTCATAAATTTTAGGCCCTGTATATATTTTTTTCTTTTTGGTGAAAAAATTATGCCAAGGTTTTTATAAACGAAAAGAAGACCGGCAAACAAGTAGAGCCAAATGTCGATTGTGCGATAAATAAGAAAGTGAAAATTAAATCTCAATTCTGACAAAATTTTCTTTGATGTTTCATTAAACATTAACGTATACTTTATGTAAAATCTGCACAAATCGCAACAGTCTTACACAAGATTGAAATTATTCGTTTATGAAAATAGCATACATACAAAAGAGGGCAAAAATGATCAATTTCCTCATACTAAAACATAATTTTCCCATATGTGGGTCTTCGTTCCATTTTTTGAAAGATTATTCTCAAAGTATATACGTAAAAATAGACATTGTTCTGTTAATAAAACCATGCAGCCCTCCACTATACCTTAAAAATACCTTCAGGCGCGTGCCAAGAGAGAGAGAGAGAGAGAGATATTGCAATATCACCCAGCAAATATTTTCGTTTCATTTTTTTTTTTTTTTTTTTGGACACATTATTTCGAATAAGATTTTGCGATAGCATGTCTATACAATCAAATGTGAAATCTATTATCAAATTATTACCAAATCCAAATAAATTATCTATTAGTTTGTAAGTTTTCTATAACATATTGACAATTTTTAAGATATTTGAGAAATTAAATTTCAATCATATCGTTGAATTAATCAAATAGTATATAATTTAAAATACAATAGTTTTTTAAACTAACATTTATTATACTTGTTTCTGAACATTATACTACAAAAAGTGCAGACGATACCAATATATCGGTAAAATATCCAGCCTCAAGTACTCGTATAATAAATTTTTGTGGAAGATAAACTTTGTGTTAAAAACAATATTACTAAGGTTTTTATTTCTAAAGAAAAGCGATACAGCATATTTCCCGCAAGAAAGTGATTGATATATTTGGAAAAACCCTGGAGCTAGCTTCCGGGGGCTTCGCCCCCTGGGCCCCCATCAGGGTTTCAACCTGGACTACTGGGAGCCTCTGAGCGGCCCCAAGTCCCCCTGCCGTTCCCTGCGTACACTTCGGCTCCATTTGGGCTACGCGCCTGACCTTAAAAAAAATTTTATGACACAGCAATCGTATCTTTCCAGAAAAATATTTGAAGTCCATTTAGTCAAGGGTCATATATCACAAACATGTTTTAATTAATTAATAAAGGAATTTGGTGTTATGATGTGACCATTTATTTTTCTCGCGTGATAATTTGTGTAAACGCCGAAGAATTGTGCACGCAAACAAACTGATTGATTATCATCAGAAAAAAAAGTTGTAATATTTAATTTTTTACTTGATCCTTTATTCAATGAAAAAATTCAACCCGGTGTATTACTAAGCAACACACAGCAAGAAAGTATGTAGTTCTGCCACATGATGAGCAAATCGCTTTATGAGAATATAAAGCTATTGCCTTATTTGTAATTGTATCTCGGACAAAGACATTTGAATGTGTAGATATATGTCGATATTTAATTGTTATGAGCAGTATTCACAAACTAAATATGACTTTATACATTTGAAACTATAGGCATTTTGCACGCCTTGTTCGCCCATCTCCTTTCAGTGAAATTCTTTCAAAACGCTACTCTTCCTACAGTTCTGGTCCGATTTCAATAGAAAATACACAAGTAGACTAAACTAAGATAATTATTTCTGTGCATCAGTTTTTGATTAAAAAAATACTGTGTAGGAGTGATGAAACATTATGCGGCAATAGGGGAGCAACACAAGTTTTCGATGATCGGGGTTGCAATGGTTACTAGATTTCTGTGGAATTCTTTCGATTTGCTACTCCTCCACATTAATTTTCGATGACTGAGGTTGCACTTGTTTCCTTAAAATAAGTTTTCTGTGAAATTCTTTTAAACTTCATGCACTAGTCCTCCTACAGTTCTGGTCTGATTTCAGTGGGTACACAATGATCAGTTTTAATTTCGATAAAGGTTTCTCAAATTTTTTTAATGAATTTATATAATAAAATAATATAAAATAACATATTATTGTGATAACTTTAAATATACATGCAAATAGAGGAAAGTTCAAGAATCGGTACCGTTGTATACATTTGTTTTATGTACATGTATTAATGCTGGCAGACAAGCGCTTCTTTTAGTGTTTTTATTTAATAATGATAAAAATGATGCGCGGATCTAGAGTTTTTTTTCCTTCTCAGGAAATTTCTGAGTTGGATTTTTTGACTGAGATGGACCCCCCCCCTTCCCGGGAAAAAAATCCTGGATACGCATCTGTCTCTGCTAAAGCTCAATTCTTTATATAGCTGCAGATCTATAGCTCGCTGGTCTGAAAAAATTGTGATCCATGGACGATCGGTCTGTCAGTAGGCCTATATTTTTTTCGGTTTCGGAGAGCTACAGTTCTGCAGCTATTCTTTATCATGTTTATATTTAGAAAAAAAGAAGAATATGTTTAAAAAAGAATCAAAATTATATTCTTCCTATAGTTATTGGTTGATTTAAAATATAAAACTAAAAACAAGAGGGAAAAAACAATAATGATAAAAAAACAAAAAAACAAAAAAAAAAAAAACAGTAGGCCTATTAAAGGGGTCCATGAAAGCACCATTCCCTTTATTTTTATTCTCAACTATGTACGAGTTACTAAATTACTTCGACCTTCGTTATCTCCCTCAGGTGGCAGAAGATAGTTTTTTTTAATGCCAAACGTGTGCCGAGGGGGTACACATATACATGCGATCCATAAAAACATGTACATGGGGACAGTTTTCCAGGGGCTAATTAATTACACTTCATATGCCCATGGCTCACAAATTATGTCAACAAATTACATGTAATCTGCGTATTAGAGTGCACATGTACCAAAAATGCACCTGGGGACTCCCCAAATTTTGGCTTGTTTTTCCAAGATTTGGGCCTCATTCACACCCATACAACCCACCCCCAGGCCCGAGCGAGCAGGATAAAACACCCAGTAGTCTGTAAATCAATGCAAGCCCTAATAAAAATTCACCAATTGATATGGGGTCATTCACCTTCCCTCTGAGATACACACCTTCTTCTAAGGCCTACTGCTTTTCAGCTGAATTTCCTCTGCAACTGACCACATGTCTTAGTTTCGCATTTACAACTCTGTATATGATAAGCGTCATAGTGACACCTACATGTTGCACATCATTTTTTTCAGCAAGCACTCTGCTACACTGCAAATGTGTCCCATAATTATTCTAATCATTTTTCTACATAAAATATCACATCAAACAGGGGATATCTCAATTTTTTAAGAAATTTGACCGGGTCTTTAGTACGAAACTATCCCCTGCCACCTCAGCGGCTGTCAACTGACTCATCATAAACAAAACTTTTATAGAAGAAGAGAAATATATAATGAAGAGAGAGGACAGATGGGCCAGTTGAGACAAAAATATGTGTTCACAGAAGAGGAAAGATTCAAAGGAGGACGATTCCCTCCGGAAACGGGTTAATTTACACTTCCAATATTTGTATGATAGTGCTATGAAAGAGGGGTTCAGTCCTTCCGATTTGGCCAAAATTGATGCTGTTGTGGAACTGAGGGAAGACATTGACTGTTTTGAAATCCCAAACTGTGTTTGGAAATCTTTTATAGCTTTATTTGTTTCATTCATAGCTATTGTGATTGTATATTTATCAGAATGGCCAATTAAAAATAATACCATTTTCAAACTATGGCTGGAAGCCAAAGGGGAGGATCCCAAAACTGAACGGTGTGCTGTAGAGAAGTTTGAATTTTTTCAGGATATGGTTCGACCTCCACCACCATGTTGTAGATTTTGTCAAAATGTGAAATCCATTGAAAAAGTAGAAAATATTACTCCAGAAAAGTTTGAAAAACTATATGCTTACACTGGTAGACCAGTGGTGATAAAAGATGGAACTAAAAATTGGACTGCCTCAGAATACTTTTCATTCCAGTTCATGAAATCCATTTACACCAAAAATAGTGCTGCATTAAAAAATGTAGAGAAGTATTGCCAATTTTTCACGTACAAATCCAATTTTAAAACGTTTGAGGAGGTATTTGAAATGAGTGATGAAAGAGCATTCATGAAGGATAAGTCATCACCTTGGTATATAGGATGGTAATTAATTTCAGTTGAATATTATTTTATTTTTAATCGTATAGTTTCATTTCAAAGTAATTGAAGAATTATTGAATTTATGAAAAATTATAAGCAGACTACAGGGGCTTTAAGTCAGGACAATGCATAACTATTCTGTGTATAATAACTATTTTACTTTCATTTAGCAGTTTTTTATATTAATATAATATTTTTATGTACATTACTTTTATAATGATCATAGAAATACAATATTTTATAAACTAAAATCAGTGGTGTTTGCCTAGGTTTGAATTTTAGTTGACAGATACCTATAAAATCTTTTCAGAGCACATTGAATATGCATATCCTTAATTTGAGCCCTTGTAAACTGCACTGCATTAAATGTAAATAATTAAGTAAATGCTTGGGTTCACAGCTTCACATACCATAGAAAAATCTGCTATTACTAAAACATTTGCTTAAAGTTTCACTTTCTCACTCAATATTTGCTACAGGAGTAACTGTGACCTATCAGCTGCGAATGTTCTCAGACAACACTATAGCCGTCCATACTTTTTGCCAAAGCAAGCAGAATCCAGCAAAACAGACTGGATATTCATGGGAAGTCCCGGATATGGTGCCTCAATGCACGTATGTCTGTCAAAACAAACAAATTCTCTGAAATTCATGCCTCCTTTTCAAGTCAGTTTGTAATGTTTTAAGACACTGTGCAAGATATCCTAAAGACAAGCAGTCCATCATCCCAATCATTTTTCAGAAACCATGTGGCAAAATTTGCCTTTGTGACCTTAACTTTTGACCTTGAATTTTTTTTTTACTGTACATGCTTTGATTTAGTAACAAATTTGTTCTTTAAAAAAACATCCAAATTTACAAGTGTTAAAAATCATTTTGACCTTGAAAATCAATGTTTGAAAAATGTTAATTGTTAAAAAAAAATCCTGCTAAAGTTTTCATTCTGCTTTTCTCATCATGAAGGTGACTTGTCCATGTTTTTCACTTTCCATGTCTCAGCATTAGTAAGTTGCAGTTGAGAGTTTGACATGGATTTGATAACTAATTTAAAAAGCTTTATGCTAAAAGCAAGACCATTGACTGGGAAATAAGGATCACACCTTTTATGGATGACAAAGTTTTGCAGTGTACAGGAGATTTCTATTTGAATTAACAGGCTTGCTTTTCACCAAAATAAGAAAATTAATATAAAGAAAATATGTAAATAGGTTGAATTATACATTTATGACATACAATTTTTATATGCTCATTTTATCCTCTCTAGATTGATTATGTGAACAACCCATCTTGGCAAGCCCAGATCACTGGAACTAAACGTTGGTCATTGGAACCTCCGCCAGAATGTTACTTTATCTGCAAAAAATCTTTTTTTGAAGTCACTGTGCAGCCAGGGGAAATAAGTGAGTAAGATATACTCAGTGATATGTTTGGCAGATTTTGCCTTAAGTTCTTCTTCACTCTTTTGCCTTTCCTGTTTTTTTTTAATCAATGTAAATTTAACAAAAGTTGCATGACTTGAAAAAAAAAGAGAAAAAAATAGATATATAGTTGAACTTCTGTATCTCGAACACTTTGAATACCATGGATATATGTCAAAGTAAGTTCGAAGTCCCAACTTATTCTATGAATTTTAACCGAGATATTTTGAATCCTCATATATCTCAAAAGTTTTTTCTCGGTCCTATCAAGTTCAAGATAATGAGGTTTGACTGTATAAATATGGAAAAAATATTATCCATTGTAAAATTCAGAACTTGGTTCACTATCTAATAAGTATTTGAAAGAGTACATTAGGTCATAAATTTCTATTTATGAGTACACAGCATCTTTTGGTGATAATAAATAGTCCCACCCTTAGATATTCATTCCGTCTTCATACAATATGGATAATAATTTTTTACAGCATTAATTTTGTATATTATTTTATGATTTCAGTTGTTTTAGACACAAATCTGTGGTTCCATGCTACACTGAATGTTGGAGACAACATAAGCATTGCCATTGGATCAGAGTTTGATTGACATTCTAAACAAATGCCTCATAATATAATAAATTATATTCTGTATGTGGAATAATTGTATTTACCATAAGTCATATACTGTAATACTGGTATAATAAGCATATTGATACATTTTTTATGCTCCATAAAATGGTCAGGGCATACAGAGTTATCCTTTCTGATAGTCTTTCCATCATTTTTGAATAACTTTTAGCCAGGCTTGGGCTGATTTTTGGTATCCATGTATCTCCATATATTATACTTTCATGTAAATTAGTTGAATCTGATTCGTCGAGAAACATTTGTTAAAAAACACTATTACCCGCTGAATGATGAAGCCACGCCCTCCAGCGTAGCAACAGTCAACATTGCTTGATGACGGGTGATATTGAAAAAAATAATGACTGCTCAGATTTTATGCACGCAAGTTTCACCGTTATATGTTTTTGTATAAAACGTTCAGTATAATATAATAAATATTGCATGTAGTTGAGTGTAGTGGTGTTCCAATCATCGATTATAATTGAAAATTAGTCGATTGCTGGCATAATCCAAGCACTCGATTACAAATTTTTTATTCCAGTTAATTGGGTTATTTTTTTTATTTTACAAGCATAATAGTTTTTGAGCCAAACATTACAGCCGCGACTTATCTATTAACTTATTTGTGTATCTTAATGGCACAGACAAACAGACAATGGTATTCAAACCCGGGTAACAATGCTCATTCCCCGATATGGACGTACTTTGGATTCTACAAAATGAACGAAGAACCAGTGGACTACCACAAAAAGTTGTTATTCAACCATTCTTACCATTTAATAAACTAAATTGACAGACTTTGTAAATGTACGGTTATAATTGATAATTAGTTAGTTACAGTAGCCCAATCATCAATTATGAAATTCTTACCGATTCCCATCACTAGTTGAGTGTAACAATGAAAATTTTCATCCCTCGAAAACCATTGTCAACCTTGGCTGTGCCTCGGTTGACAATGGTTTTTTTGGGGTGAAAATTTTCAATGTTACACTCGACTACATGCAATATTTATATAATATTGATGAGTGATAACTTACAGGTCCCTTTAAAGTTTCAGTATCGATTTACCTTTTTTTTTTCAAAAGTTATTTCCCTTAAACTATAAAATTTCTCATTATTCACAGTGATTCTTATGGACAATTAGGTGATTTTTGATACATATGTGCCTCTTTATGTTGATGCTAACAAATCAAGATTAAGTTACAATTCAATTGACCAATTTTGCGGAATGTTATTTTCCTATGACTTTGAAAATTTCCTTTTATTTTCTGTTTTCCTGTTCTTTTTTGTTTGTTTGTTTGTTTGTTTTTTTTTGTATAAATATTTTTTTTTTTTTTGCTGTGCTTGTAGATAATGAAGTGATTTTTGGAATTTCTTTTATTTTGATGACTTACAGGTTAAGTTAAACGTTGATTTACCCATGCATGCTCAAAAAAGTTGTTGCTCTTAGACTCTTCACTTTTGGCCCGACATTCTTTGCTGTGATTGTAAATATATATAATTAGGGAATTTTCGGTAGTTTACCATCTTTTTTTTTATATTGATGACTTAAGAATCAAGTTTCAGTTTTTGACTTTTTTACATGAAAGTTATTTTAATACCCAGCTTCTAACTTTTTTCCTGGAAGCTATAATTCACATTGATTATTATTTTCAATTTTACTGTTTTTTTTTTAATATTTTTTGCCCTGCTCGTAGATGATGAGCTGATTTTTGGTATGTTATTTATTTTGATGACTTACAGGTCAATTAAGTTTCAGTTTCATGTTTATTGACATTTTACATGAACATTATTACCCCAGACTTAAAAAATACTTATTATTCACTGTTTTCTTGAAATTTATTTGCTGTGCTGGTAGGTAAGCAACTGATTTTTAGTGTACCACATACAATATATTGATGACTTACAGATCAAGTTTGTGTTTCTTGTTGATGGACCCATTCTCACCAGAGTTCAAAAATTACAATTTAAAATTTCTAATTATTCACAGATTTCCTGCCTTTTCTCTTTTGATATTGTACCTGTAGATCACAAGTCAACAAATGATATGAGAAAACAAAAACAGCAATATGATATACTGTTTTTGTTTCATTTCAACCCATTATTTTTCCACATCTTACTTTCAAATATTATAACTTAAATGACAGAGGTATAACATTCGTGTCATGCTACTTAAAAATCTACCGGTAGGTTGAATAGTACTTTTGAAATCCACTTCCCTATATTTCTACAAACATTGAAAGTATAGGCAGATGAACTACTTTCTATACATAAAATGTTGTGAATGAATACTGGTTCCCTCAATACATTACATTTTTTGTACATGTGCATGTGATCAGAGACCTATATTTGAAGTTCCAAGTTATTGATGTAATGTTTACATATGTTAATTTATAAGTGTTGAAAAGTTTTTCGAGTGTATTTTTATTTTTTTAAAATAAATGAGAGGATATCTCTGAAAATGTTTTTGTTTACCTATTTTAAACATCAATTTGCTAAAAACAGTGTGGCCAGACTGTAATGGATTGCAAACTTAACTAGAAATAACATATCATTAGGGCTGCGCAATAATTCCGATATTCCAGTATATTGCGATTCGTTAACAAAAAATATCATATTGCGATACATTTTTCCAGTACCGATATATCGGAAAAATGATTGGGCTTTAGATTTATGAAGTAAAATATGAAATTTAAGATGTCAGAAACGTTTTCAATCGTGCCAAACAGTATCAAATGGTAAAGGTTTCTGTTGTATGGATGCATTTCGTTGCCAAACTGTAGTGAAATCAACTTGATTTTTTTGTTACAACATATTTATAAAAGTTTTATACACTTTGCTTAAAAATGGAGGTTGGTAAAATAAGAAAAGAGCATTTAACTGTAATTAAAAATATTGCAATACAGTTCCAAATAACACAATATGAAATTTTCAACCGATACCCTGTCCTACATATCATCCATGAAATATCATAGGCATTAAAAGCAAATTGAAAGTGTGTGTGCAAGGGGGGGTGTTAACCAACCAAAAAAAAAAATGTTTGTGAGGGCTAAGCCCCAATTTCCAATGCCTATATTATGCCCCCCCCCCCCCCCCCCCCCCCCCCCCCCCCGGTTCCAATGCCTAAGAATATTGTATCAATGGACACCGGAATGAATTTATTTTATATAGTGAAACATAAATAAAAGGATGTAATGTTCAAAAAATCACCCACCACATTTAATTACTTAATTATTTAAAGGTCAATGTTACTTCTGAAGGAGTTTTCCTATAACATCAAATTATTTAACTAAGAAATAGGAGGATCTTTGTAATAGGTAATAGGTCACCATAAACAAAGAAATTTAACGGGTGTATTGGACCTATTTAAAGTTAAAAATTCAAGATCAATGCCAGATGGGTGTTTAAAATATGTAATATGTTACTGTGTCTTTCTAATAATATTACTGTGTCTTTCTTATATTAATGAAGTTAAATGTCAAGAACTTAATCATTAAAGTCTTGAGATACTGATTACATGACTAATTTAATACATGTAATATCCACTTGATGCAAGATCAAGGCCAATATTTTCTAGTATTCCCAAAGTGGACTTGTATCTTTTCAAATATTTACTGAAAAAGAATAAGTAAAACCAATGATAATCAAGAAAGGTCACTTAATATATTTTTACAAGTCAAGAACAAAGCTACCGTCAATACATATTGTAAATGCATTCAATCTACTTTCTTCAAGTGAGAGTATAATGGTCAACCCTGATGATTTTTATTGAAAATACCTCATTATGATTTTATAATGTTTGCATATTTTGTCAGATTATACAGAACAACTGCATGTAAATGCAGCCATTAACCAAATGGATAAACAGTCATTGTTAATCCATAGATCAGATTTGCTTTGCATTTATGCTAAAAATGTTGAATTTGTAACTTGAAGAATTAGTGCAATAAACCAAAGCAGCTTGGATTCAAACCAGAATCCTCTGGACTCTAGGCAGTTTCTCTAACAACTGAGTTATATAGCCACCAAGTGATAAAAGCTGTCTGGTCACTACATTCCTCTCTGAGGTTCCTTAAATGTCTTTTGCCCTTGGCAGAACTTTCACCTGAAAGTCCAGGGGTGGTCAAGGGCACCAAATGCACTACAAATGTAACAGGTCAAGGACACCAAATGAACCATCATCGTAACGGGAAGGGAGAAAATGGTTTGGGCAAACCATGGTTTGAACATGGGCCCCCTGAATGCTAGTCAGGTGCTCTACCAACTGAGTTATCTGGCCAACAGCAATAAAACCTGCCTGGCAGCCACATTTCTCACTCCTTAAGGTCAAGATCTAGTAAATGAAAGGATCGAGCCTACAGATTTTTCAAATTTGAGAAATGAATTCCTTTAAAGATGCTTTTTAAGTATAGCTTGGTCAAATAAGGTGTATCGGGGCATATTTTGTAGGTAAACAAGATGAAAAATCATATTTTAAGGTTTTGCCAAAGGTCAACGTGTCCAAAAATTTATTTTTACAACAGCTCCAAAACTATGTGGTTTATAAAGTTCAAACTTTTACAGTTTATAAATATATCATTGATTAACAGATAGAAAGTATCACTTGATAACAAATACTTTAAGAAAGTATTTATCGAGAAAAATTCTTTTGAAAAAATGCATATATTTTTTTTTAAAATACACCTAATTAGTTCCGTACTTTTAGTGGAAGCCATCATTGCAGAAACAATATATGTTTATCAATGAAAGGCAAGTTGGACTTCGATAGCCTCTGGAAAGTTGTTTTCCCTTTTTATCCAAATGTTAAGATTTGAAACCGAAAGTACATTGCAAATGGCGGATTTTACAGGGGTCTTGTCTTTATACATGTCATGCTTTCAATAACAGCCTTTCAGGGACCATTCAAGTCCAACTTGCCCTTCATTGATAAACATATATTATTTCTTCAATGATGGTTTTCACTAAAAGTACAGAATTAAGCAGGTGCATTTTTTTTAATTATGCAAATTTTTTGAAATTGTTTTTTCTCAAAAAATATATATTTTTTAAATATTTGTTTTTAAGTGATACTTTCTATCTCTTAATCAATGATATATTTATAAACTGTAAAAGTTTTAACTTATACCTCACATAGTTTTGGAGCTGTTGTAAAAATAAATTTTTGGGCATGTTGACCTTTGGTAAAACCTTAAACTGTCTTTTTTGATGAAAAATTAATAAAATCAGTCATGAATATGGGAGTTTTTTCCTTATCAGATAAAGGAAATGTATCCAGATTGCCTACAGTCTCTCAGAAAACAGTAATTTGTTTGTTCTTATCCTCTTCTTTAAATTAATATTAAATTGAATATAGGTTTCGGGATTAATTTTCAAGTGATTTCAAATTAAATTCCATGAAAAATCTTTTTTTTCTACATAATTCTATTAGAGCCATAAAGTACGGGAAAAAAAAAGTTTAAATTGATTATGACGTCATAATGGATCTAGCACCAAAAAGACAGTCTAAAGTCATTTACTAGATCTTGACCTTAAATCTCTTTCTCCACAAAGACACACAACTCAGATTATTTTTGCCCCTGACAAGACTTTAACCTACAAGTCCAAGAGTGGACAATGACACCAAATGTAACAGGAAAGGAGGAAATGCAACAAACCAGACCAGATTTGAACCTGGGTCACATAACTCTAGACAGGTGCATTACTGAGCTATCTGGCCATTGGTGAATGAATTGTCTAAACTGCCACAAGTTAAAAATGAAATTTCAACAAAACTTATTAGAAGTAAATGATGAATGTAAATTATATAATGAATAAGGCAAAATAATATTCTTGTGGAGCTATAGTCAGTTTATTACATGTAGTTACATTTACAAACATATTAAAGTCCAGACGACATTTCAATGCTAGCTTTGAACCTGCAAATAGAGAATAATTAGATAATATTTTTCAAATAAAGTTCAATAAAAAATACAGACATAAATATATTTTTTTTTCAAATAAAAGTGTATGTAATCATCAAAGTAAAATGGCACTAGTACCATGCTTGTATGACAAAACCACATCATC